TGTTTCCTGCAATGCTGGTCTTGTTTTTACAAACTCTCTTAGGTTCTGTTTTTCTGGGAGTATCTTGATCTCTCCTTCATATTTGATGGTTAATTTTGCTGGGTACAGTATTCTTGGTTGACAGTTGCATTCCTTGAGTGTTTGATATATCTCTTTCCATTCTCAGGAACAGGTTTGAGGCCTTGAACACTAATAATGAGTGAAGACCAGATGAGCTGTGGGAGGTTATCAAGGATATCCAGGAAGAGTGCAAATGGTCATTACAAAGACAGAGGAGGAAGAAAAGACCAAAATGGATGTCAGAAGAAAATCTGAATATTGCACTGGAGTGCAGAGAAGCCAAAGCAGAAGGAACAATTCAAGATACTAAAGAGCTGAACAGAAGATTTCAAAAGGCAGCGCGGGATGACAAAGTAAAATATTTCAACAAAATGTGCAAGGAGCTGGACTCAGAAAATCAAAAGGGCCGAACTTGCTCAACATTTCTTAAGCTCAAGGAACTGAAGAACAAAATCAAACCTCGAGTTGCTACAATCAAGGATGCTTTAGGCAGAATATTAAATGATCCAGGAAGTATTAAAAGAAGACGGAAAGAATATACTGAGTCACTGTGCAAAAGGAATTGGCAGACACAGAAGAAATTCATGAAACAACGTATGAGCAAGAACCTATAGTCATGAAGGAAGAAGTTCAGGCTGCTTTGAAGGAAATAGCAAAAAATAAGGGCCCAGGAATAGATGGTATACCCACTGACATATTTCAGCTAACAGATGCTGTCCTGGACGTGCTCACCAAGTTGTGTCAAGAAATCTGGAGAACAAACCACTTGGTCAACTGACTGGAAGAGATCTATATTTGTTTCCATTCCAAAGAAGGGTGGTCCAACAGAGTATGGAAACTATAGAACAATATCATTGATTTCACATGCAAGCAAGAGTCTACTGAAAATCATCCAAAAACGACTGGAACAGCACATCAGCAGAGAACTGTCGGAAATCCAGGCTGGGTTTAGAAGGGGTCATGGTACTAGGGATGTTGTAGCTAATGTTAGATGGATGTGTTAATCATAGGGTTGCACAATTTGATGGGTAGGGCGTGAAGGAAATGGGAAGGATATTTTGTGAAAATGTATCCAAATTTTGTAAATAAATCAGTATAAAATTTAAAAAAGAAATAGTAATATTTGGAATATGTTGAATTACACTGAGTTTATTACTGAAAGTAATTTACTTTTACCTTTAAAAAATGTGACTATCAGAAAATGTCTATTTACATATAAGACTTGGTATGATTTACTGGACAGTGCTGCTCTAGAACTAGTACCCTTCCCTGTCTCCTTAAGGATATAATCCTTCTGTCTAATCATCACCATGAGAAAAGCCTCATTTCTGCCAGATACGTCTCTGCCCCCTCCTCTGCTGGACCACCGTCTCTACTCCCCGCAGGAGCTCTCTGGAGTCATAGCTTTCATTGCTGGCATTGTCTCATTCCCAGCAGATGACCACGAAGTTCTAAAGACCATCATGCAGTCAATCCATTTCAGATGGAGAATATGGATCTGAGCAGGGCTAGGAAAGAGCTCTCAGACTCTCAGAAGTTAAAACTCACATTCACTGCAGTTGAGTAGGTTCAGACTAAAATAATAGTGACATTCCATCAAGTTCCCAAAGTTGTAAACTGTAACAGGAGACTGTAACATCTTTCTCTTGCAGAGCCATTGATGGAGTCAAACCTCAGAAGATATTTGGCTTTTGGGTTAGCAGCGCAATTTACTATGGTATATACATACTCCCAGAACTCCTGGTAATACTATCAACACAAATTTATATCAAGACATTCAAACAAGATGAAGTGCTCAAGAATTAGATGACGTTTTAAGCAATTTGTTAAGTGGAAGTTATTTGCTTGAAACAGATTTAATATCCTCAACAGTTGTGATTTTTCTCCGTCTCCAGCAGCAACATTTCTGAATTACAGATTCAGGATGATTCAGTCATATAAAAGATGAAGAGATTATTTATCCTCTCTTTTCTACAGGAGATTATTTATCTTCTCTTTTCTAACAGTGGTGTTATACAATATTTGTCCTTTTTTGACTGAGATATTTCACTCAGCATAATGTCCTCCAGGATCACTCATGTTGTATACTCTTTTATGAGTTCCTTGTTTTTCAGTGCTGTGAGGAATTCCATTGTGTGAACTGTAACGGATGAAGGAATGAACTGTTTAAAACGAATATATGATTAGGCATTATCTGCATGACAGCAGTCCAGAATAAGAAGTGCATAGAAAAGTGGACTGGTGGAGGTAGGAAATTATGCAATAATGAATATTTTTCTAAAAGTAAACTTGGGGATTAGGGAGGAAAATGTGCAACAATGAATGAATGAAAATCCAACTGTAAACTTTTGTTAAAATCACAATAAAAAATAAGAGGAAAAAAAAGATGAAGAGATGCTGAAACAGATATAAATTCATCTACATAGAACATGCAAAGAATAGTTTCTATTAGGCTACACAATTACAGTTTTCCAACCATTGTGTAAAATCAGTTGTTATGTGTATTTCTTTTTCTTCATTCCTTTACATTTATGGTCGTTTGAAAACTGCCACAGCTTCTTATTAAAGCATGGCTCCTAAGTATTAAAAGGTCAGCTAGTCAGAGGTAAAAAATTATCAGAATTTTAATTTTTAGACTACAATGTCTAAAACTTGAAAAAAAAAGATGTTACTTTCTTTTAAAAGTGAGCTCTAATGGGTAAGGATTTGTACTGTCAACCCAAAGATACACAGTTCAAATCTACTAACTGCTCTGCAGAAGGAAAAATAAGCAATCTCTTCCTATGTGATTTATAGCATCTATAAACCCCAGAGCATCAGCTATGGATCAATCCTGACTCGAAAACACATTGCAGCAACAAACACTTTTAAAATCTGGTATGATGTTAACTGCAAAAGGAGTATAAACAACTACAATAAATATTCCATTAACTAACAAGGCTAATCCAACAAAAAAATCTTTTAAACATGGAGGGAGGGGTGGGTAACGGAAATGGGAAAGACCCAGTGTGAAAAACAATATATATAAACTTTGCAAGTAAACCAGTATAAAATAAAAACTATTTATAAAAAATCTTTTAAACAGAGCATAATAAAAGATATACTTAACACAAAAAGAATACCAACCACAAGTGTACATATCTTTGGTGAATTTTTTATTAATTTACAACACATAAAATCCAAGAAAATAAATTTTAAGTGGCAAAACACAAAATACATTTAAAAGAAATTTTCAATTTTGTTAGGCTTTTGCTATAACTCTTTAGAAATATTTTAAGTATGGAGAGATGCCAAAACTATAAAGTTCAAAATCAACTAACTCAACACACAGGAAGAACAGTATGCCAACACTTTAACAACAATAATGAGTTTTAACTGTGAGATTACAAGTGATGGGGTAACTTTATATTTCTATGGTTGCCACATTTTCTGTAAGGACAGGAACTGTGTTTATAATGAGAAGACTTGCTCCTTTTCTTAAAGAAAAAAAAATAAAGAAAATATAGCAGGAAAGATAACAACTTCCTGATAAGAAACTTACATCCTAATTCTAGAAATTGTGCATAAGAAACCTTACAAGGCAATTCAAACTACAGTTGGAATTAAGGAACCTTAGTTCTATCTACTCTTTGTTGAGTGCACTGATATGGCACAGTTATAAGCCACTAACCCTATTTATGTATTAGTCATCTTTCTATCAAGACATCGTAAGGTTGCAAATCTAAGCTAAACTGTGTAAGGTAAAAGTAGATGAGGTTTGAACAACAGCCTGGGTTCTATTTCCAGGGTGATACCCCTAGTCTTCATCACTGTGGCAGGTGGGTTAACTTATAACCCTTAACATGGACTGTTACAAGGAAATAACAAATGTCACCAAATGCCATCCTCAAACAAAGCTAAATTTAATTGCTTGCCTGAGCAGGAAAAGTCACATCACTCAAGTCCAACTGCAGCAGGTAGAACTTGCAAGGACCAGATAGAAGGCAGAGAGGAAGTACACTGAAGACACACAGATGTTGAGTCCAGGTCTTTAGCTGGTTCCTCTTGCTAAGCACAGGCTCCATTCACAAGGCTTTCAGGATAGATTATATGTAACATTCTAGAGAGCTCAGTGTCACTCAGCTGGCAAAGGTGATAGATACTTTTGCGTGAAGTTACTGAAATCTTCCTTTAACAAGACCGGTAGCACATCACCATATCCACTAATCTCTTTAGTGCCAGGTCAATTTCCTTTTCTTGAGAGCAAAAACAAATGCTGAGTGAACTAGAAAAATACTATTGTACATAGACTGCCCTTCTGAGTTGTACATGACCAAAATATAGGTGGCAGTCAAGCCAATATTTGTACATGAATGTTCAAAGCAATACTATTTCACAATCACCAGAGGTGAAAACTACCCAAATGTCCTTCAGTAACAAACATAGGATCAAAATATGGTAACACATATCCTCAAACTTGCTGCTGTTCAGTCAGTTTCAACTCCCAGCAACCCTCCACTGGGTTTTCCGGGTTGAAAATGGAAATGGGAGGACCGTGCCCATCTTTCTCCCTCAGTCACTGGTGGGTTAAAATGGCCAGAAATGTGCATCCTTTGGTTAGCAGCACAACTCAACTTGGACCATACAACCAGAGCTCCACATACACATAATACAGTGCAACAGTGTTCAGCTGTAAAAAAGAACAAACGTCTGACAGACAGTATGACATTGACAAACCGTGAAAACAACTGTACAGAGCCAGAAAGTAGTTCTGTGGTTGCCAAGAGTTAGAAGGAGAGAAGAATGGGAAGTGCCTGCTGACGGGCAGGTGGTTTCCTCTGGTGGTGATGAAAATGCTTTGGAACTAGATCAGGGTGATGGCACAACATGGTGAGTGTACAAAACATCACTCAAGTGTACATTTAAAAATGGCTCCTTGTATGACATGTGAACTTTACTCCATTAAAAAGGGAGGAGGGAAAGCACACACAAACTTAAGGATATTTTCAGTGCCTCTGAAAGAAGAAAGAAAAGAAGTAAGGGATCATGGACTATTGAACATGTGACAGCAAACAAGCAAAGGTAAGTGGGGAGGAAGAGTAGGTTAACTTCAGAATCTAACACAGTAATCAACATGAGAAAAGCAAACATATGAAAGAACTTCCTTATTTGCAGTGAAGCTATAGTTACAAAAACCCCCAAACCAAACTGTAAATGATCTTATAAATATAAAGACGTCCCACAAGTGCCTTTTAATGACAAGTAAGGATCAGAAGGTTAAGGCTTCTTTTAAAGGGGAGGGTTTGTCACACAAGGATACATGTCATCACATCACTCAACATAAGTGTGCCAGGCATTATTTGTTCTGCAGAAAAAGATTTAAAAGTGCATTTTCAAGATAGACTTGCAAAAACTGTACTTATTACACTATGCACTAAACTAGTAAATGAAAAAAAAATCCCTGCTATCAAACTACATTCTTTTGAGAGATATTTCTGGCATTATTTACCTCTAACATATCACTCACATGGCAAATCTGGTATGTATGCTTGAGGTCTGCTTTGTTAAAATCTTTCCTTAACACGATCTGGTTACATTAGTACAGCCAGAACAAACAAGAATTATCATCAATTACCTGACTTTTCCCTAACTTCTATGATGCCACACAAAATGTCCTTTTCTGGGAGTAAATTAAAGCAGAGACTTAAACAAATATCTTTTATATAGAACAGTTGTCCTCCAGAGTTTACTAGAGCAATAAATAATGGAAACAGTGAAGTTTAGGGATCTTTGAGTTCCTTTGAAACAAGGAAGAAGAAAAACCAGGTGAGGAAGCAGGATCTCCTGAACAAGTGACAGTGAATGAGAAAAGGGAAAGAGAAAAAAAGAAAAAAGGGTTGCACTTAATCTAACATCAACACTGGAAAGCAAACAAATAAAGAAAACATTAAAATGTTTAGAGGGTTTGTTTGCAGACAAGCTAGAGGCCTAAAATGCAGATAATTTTATAAACACAGAGAAGACAAGATATCCCTGAAGGGCCTTTTCAAGGCCAGATAAGAACAGGATGAGCTTGTGGGGAGTACTGAATGTATCTGGTATCTTTTCAAGGGGAGGGCCTGTTAAACAAGTATACTGGCCACCAAGTCTTTCTACCCAGCTGGAGGTTTCTAATGTATCTGAATCAAAGTCTGACCAGCATCATGTCTTGAATATTTATATTTTTAAAAAGACACATTGGGAGAACTTGCTATACAGACTTTTTTTAAAAAAATACTATTAAAACTCAATGTTTGACCTTCAAAAAGCTGTTTCTAGTATTTTAGGTCACTTCCATACATGCTATAAACAGTGAACCATCTTAAAAAATTCTTAGGCAAACTGACCCTATATTTCACAGTAGGTTTTACTTTAAAAACCATAGTGTTATGCTTCAGTATTAACTGTGTACATCTAGGACTGTGACACGTTCAAAACACTGAAAAAAAACCAAAACACATTAGGTAAAAACTGTCAAACTTACTGATTAAGAGCTCTTGTGGGGTTTTTTTTTTTATGGTTTTCTTTTAAAAAAGTGTTTAAAATGAAGTTTATTGTTTGAATTTTATAAGTAGTCTTTAGAGGCTTCAAACAAGAACTCTGTTGCCAAACTCTAATAAATAGCTTGCCCCAAGTCCCAAACAAAACAAAATGTAAAACAAACTAAAAACAAAACTCAGAAGGATAAACAAGACTTCAGAATGCTTGGATGTTAGCGGTGCATCTCACTTACAAAGAGAATTCAGGGCAATGTACAATCCCCCTCACACTGGTCAGAGAGAAAGACACAATGGAATCCTTACAAAGCACTCTGAAATCTTATTTCCAGGATACAAGTGTCATCAGAATAAAAAAAAACACACCCAAAAATCGCCATCGACAAATTAGAGCTCTTGTGTTTTTAAGCAAGAGGGGAAAACAGCTTAAGACTAATCATTTTGGAGTGGTGGCTCTGTCTTCATTTTACCTTTCGAAGGGTTGGTGGCAGAAGGCTTGTGACGTTGGGATGGAGTTGTCTGGGTGGCTGCATCACACAAAGACATTGGACGCTGTGTGATTTTCAACTGTAGCTCCTGCTGTAGAACTGAAGTAAGGTTGTGGGTTGTCTGCTGAGGAAGGCTTTGTTCAGCTCTCTGGGATGATACACCACCATGCTGTGCTTCTGAAAGGTTAATGGCAATGGCTGGCTTTACAGGTAAGGCCTGTGCCACAACCCTTGATCCCTGTGCAGAGTCCTGTCCTCCTGTCTGTTGAGGTCGAGTTGTGGGAGGCTGAGAGGGTTGTGGAGTGACCTGAGAGGACTGCTGCTCAGAGACGAGGAAGAGCTGACCGGGTGGAAGCTGTAACACAGTGGCAGGATCTGTGCTGGGAGCCTTTTTAAAAATAATTGGAACACCTGCTTGAGAAACTACCTGCACTGCATCAGGCACTGTCACTGCACCAGACACTGTCACTGTACCAGGCATTCTCACTGCACCAGGCACTCGCACTGTACCAGGCACTGGCGCTGCAACAGACAATGGTGCTGCACCAGATACTGTCACTGCACCAGATACTGGCACTACAACAGGCACTGGCACTGCACTAGACACTGGCACTGCACTAGACACTGGCACTGCACCAGACACTGGAGTTGGAAGTGTAATTCCTGAAGGTTCACTGCTATTGACTGGGGTGGTTTTTGCAGGGGTACTGGCAGTAGGGCTACAGCCCAGCATGTATTGCTCACCACTCTTGGAAGTCCAGGCTCTAAGACCAGACCCCACCGACTTGCTGGACTTTTGTCTGACAGAACTTTCCATGGCTGGCGTGGTCTTAGATTTTGGCAGTGATTTGGCAGCTGACAGAACTGTTGGAGAAAGCACGGGAACACCAATGAGGTCCACAGATGATTTCTGAGAAGGAACTGGTGGCTCAGAGGCAGAAGGTCTTGGAGATTGCAGAGTGGCCCTTGCCTGCTGTGCAGGAGAAGACTTCACTGAGGAAGTAGTGCCTGGGCTTGAGAAAAGCCTGATGGGTGAAGGTGGCAGTGTCACCTCCTTCCTCACTGCTGAAGACTGGGATGACACTCTTGGAGGTGATTCTAGGTCCTTCTTTGATGGTTGACTCACATTGGCTGTGTCATTCAAGCTCAGTGACATCTTGGCTGGACGTTTGGCTTCCTTCTGACCCTTGTCCTGGTTCTGATTGACCACATTCTCCGCAGTAGTCTGTGGTTCATTCAGGAACCAACCTAAGTAATGATCTACAGAGAATTGAAATGGGGACATCGTATTAACATTTTCCTCAGCTTCATAGGGTGGTATCATCCCAGAGACAAGAGGGTCATCAAGGGACTGCATGACATGCAGTTTCACTTTTTGACCCTGAGTACCAGCATCACTGTCAATGGAGTCACTGGCATCTGCCCCACAGTGTGCCCTGTCAGGTGATTTTGAGTCAGTAGGCTTGGGAAACTTTGGTTCTTTGGCATATTTGTCCAAGTCCACTTGCGAAGGCACTGCCAGGTCAGGAGAATGTTGTTTCCATGCATCCACACAACTGCCAACTTTGGAAATTTTGAGGTCAAATGGCTGGCTGACTTTTCTATTTTTAATTTTGGAGCAAGAAGGGAATGACCTGAACTGAGATGGTGGTGGAGAGTCAAGCAACTTGGTCTGCTGGGTCTGAGAGGTTATAGAGTACCTCCGGAAACACTGCTTCATTGAGTGAGTGTTCATCTTCTGCTTGTTATAAAGCAGTCTATTTTCAGTGCAGGCTACGGCTACAGATGGTTCAAGACACAGGGGCTCAGCTGTGGCCAAGAGCAGCTGGCTCTCCAGCTCAAGTTTGTCCTCCTGGGTCCATTCATGGCCATCGTTTGTTAAGGAATGCACATCATGGACTAAAGTCTGCATTGTTGGTCGTAAGAGAATATGTCTACTTTGACAGTTAGAATAGTGCATGTTACTGCACTGCCTATAGTCACGAATTTCTGCAATGACACATCCAGAATAAAAAATAG